AAACAGTTGGGTCGGGTCGGGTCGGGTCGGATATGAGTCAGGTCAAAAAGTAATGCAAAAACGGATAAATTATCCATATTTGAATCGTTTTTAAAAAGTTCATTATCCAACTCATTTTTAGTGGATAATATGAGTGAATAACTATTTTCTTTTAACCATTTTGCCACCACTACGCGCGCTAAACTAAACCTAAAACAGCACTAAAACAGAATATATATGTATGCAAAGTGCAGTGAAAATCCTCATAAATGCCTTTTATGGAACAACTAGAGGATGTTTGGCAATTCCTACTGTTATTTCGTTACACTACTGTAGTGTCCTTCACTAGTCTAAATAAGAACAATAAATGACGATCAGTTTGCGACTGCCCCCCTCCCCCTTCTCCCCCAAAGTTGCCTAAAGAAACCTATTTATTTTTCTCCAAATAGTCATTTCTCTATTTCGACATTTATATGAAAAAAAAGTATATTGGAGTAACATTACTTTCGGTTCCTTTTTTCAGCTGCGAGTTATTGTGATCCTTACCCAGGCTCTCTGACTCATCTAATGGTCATTTATGATCTACTTTTTAACGCACACACCAACTCAATTCAAGACAGTGTATTAGTAATATTTTGTCCTAATACACCAACGGTCATTTCAATTGGCAAAGTATCAAAATACACATATTGTTAAGAAACCAAAGCACTGAATTAAAAAAATAGTACGCCATGTTTTACAAAACAAAAACAAAGCCACGGGGAAAGTGCAGTAAAAACAAAATCTAAAGAATTTGATCGGAGAGTGGTGGAAGTCGGCGGAAAAAGTTGACGGGGAGGGAAGGCATGTCGTGGCGGAAGCGAGGGTGGCGCAAGTAATACAACCCTGAGCCTAACACAAATGCCTTGAAGGGAACGACATAGAACAGCAATGAAGCAAATAAGCACACCACCACAAATATAGCAGTAGCTCTAGGATCCCTCCAATTGAACAATGCTTCTAACCTCTCCCCTTGTGCTGCAACATCACCTAGTAGTGTTTGTGCCCTCCCTGCTAGTGCCCTTAACCTGTCATATCGAACCCGAACATGTTCCATAGGCCTCGACGTCGGGAATCCATCAAACTCCTCATCGAGCTCATCGGGACCTATTGCATCCACGTGAGATAATCGAGGATCCATGGTGATTGCAACACGTTGCCGATATCGAAACCTTAAGGAAATTATCAAGAAGGCATACATACAGATTGTAGGCAATACTAGGTGCGGACATAACACAATGGCTATCAATAGTATATGCACCAAAATTGTGGTTGGTGGGTGCACCCATGTCCTAATTCCATCTAGCCAACGTGCTAATGTGGCCGCTCTAGACAAGCACCCGACCACTCTGAACCAATTCGACTTGCTTCGCCTCATGCTCCATATGTGAGTGTCTGAATCCAACATACATTGAACCACTTCTTGACCCAATGCAGGTTCTGACCTAGCCAATCTTGCTGTGACTATCCTCATAGCAGTGTGCCTTAAGATATCCTGTTGAGCTGGACCAAATGGGCGCACATAATGCATTCTTGGCAATATTGGATTTGTATAGGCTTGTATCAAACTCAGCCACGATGAACAAGTAAACCTCAAAGCAATCTCAATGTCACCCATTTTCTTTGCACCACTAGGAAGCAACACCATAAGTGAATAAGTACCCATGTACATCTTATTCGTGTCCAGCGTCGACAGTCGTACTCTTAGCTTTCCAAGTCGTACATCTTTCTTGTCATCATGCTTGTACCTCCCATTATCAAACACCCCAATTGTCAACACGGTGCAGGGATCATATACATCCCAAGTATACTGCTCATTCCACCTCGGATTAAACCGATCAAGAATTGTACGCGTCCGGGCCCACTTGGGTCCGTACTTGGCCACCACGTAGGCATCGGTGGTCCCACGAGTACCATCTTTTGTTTTCACAGGGAGTAGATTATTAGCACCTCTAATACCAACTTCAAGCAATCCAATAGGTGGTTTGGACAATTGTTTTGCTGTGGCTCTAACATCACTGGTTAAATGTGCTGCTTCATCAAGCACGTGATACCCACCCTCCAAACAAACTCGCACGTGTATCCTACCAGCATAAGGCTTTTTCTCATCACCCACTAAATTAAACCACCTTGATCTCGGCTCTGATTTATCGTCCGTACGCTTATCAATGGACGTGACCTGCACCTTAGCATAACCCACCACTTGACAGTTAGTAACATCTTCCACTGTGATCACCAAAAACGGCTCAAACGGCTCAGCTGCTACGAATACAAGGTCTTCGTTCCACGTAGGATTGGAAGCCGAGCTGGAGGACCCCACCGTGGTTCGGCTCGTCTTGAATAACTGTGCGCCGAGCTGCGCTTTCACATAGAGGTCCGGACTCCGAACCTTAGGCTCGGTGNCGCTTCCACCCGAACCTAGCTGCAAATCTTGGGTTTGGATGACCGTTAGCCTTAAATACCACAGCTTCGGTGAAAGGTAGACTTTGGCTCGGGTTTCCGGTATCAATCCGCCGGAGTCCGATTGCCATGCCTCATTAAATGCTTCGTCCGCCTGAGTCCCGAGCCACACCGCCAGCATGACGTCATTTCCCGGCGGGTTATTCTGATCGGCGGTAACACCTTCTAAACTGTACCATTGAGGAGCTAACGGACTGTCCGGCGGCACTCTTTTCGGCACTTCCTGCAAATCAAACGACACCGTACCAATGCTATTCTCATCAGTTTTATCATCGGCGACCTTCTTTTCGACCCAAACAGAGACTTCTAATGATGTTGAGTTTAATCCCTCTTTGTCGAACGCGAAAACTTGATCCCATTCTTTGTTATCCGCGAGTGATTTGGTTTTTATACTGTGTGTTCCTATCACGAGCTTTGCATAAGCCGAGGAATCGGGCTCTTGATTGGCCCGTTTCGCCTTCACAATTCGAACGTAGAGGAATGGCATTTGATCGACAAGATCAAACGCCCCTGTTCGACGATCCACACTACTGGAGAGATTCTTATGAAGGACTTTGAGTTCGCTTGTATTTTCATTTGTTATCGGCTTTTTGTTAGGAGGTTTGTGTTGAGCTATCGGAGGATGCTCCAGTACTTCTGGTTGTGGATTCTGTGTTGGTGGTGGTGCTTCGTCTTTTTTCTGATTCTCTGGTGGCTTTTCTTCTTTCTTTTCGGCAGATTCGTCGGGTTTCTTCTCCTCTTCCTTCTTCTTCTCCGACGACTCCTCTTTCTTTTCATCAGAAGGAGGAGCAGCCGCGGGTTTCTCTTCTTTTGCCTCCTCGGGTGGCTTTTCATCTCCCTGTGTCGCCGGAGGATTTTCAGCCGCCGCCGCCGCAGCAACTTCCTCCTTCTTTTCCTCCGTTGGAGGAGGAGGAGGAGCCTCTTCGTCTACGTACCAAATCTTAAGACCAATCTCGCCTTTAATTTGAGAAAAGACGCTCCGTTTTTCCAAGGGATAGTAGACAAGAGGAATTTCAGAGCCAAGTTTGAGGAAAGTAGTAGCAGATATTTTAACTTTACCGAGGAAATTACTCCTCTTGCCGGCTTTTTTATCGTTGTAAATGTTGAGTTCAAGAGTTTCAGAGGGCATGGAGTGAAGGTCGTGGACCAAGAACTCGAGATGCTCGTCCCATTGGGGATTAAGATCTCTGAACTTAGTCTTGGTACGACGACGTTGGCCGTCGAAATCGACGATGACAAAGGCGCTGGCTGTGCCTTGTCCATCTTTGGGCATCAAATTTCTGGCATTGCAAACTTGCACTATCAGTTTTCTGGTGCAAACAGAATCACCCATTTGAGAAGAAATTATAATGGGAGTGTTTTATTTTCCGGTTAATTGGAGAAGAAAGAATGGTATGAGAGAGTGAGTGGGTCAGTGGAGCCTTTTAAAGGCGCTGGGCAGGGGAGCCTCTTTTTTCTCTCCTACTATTTGTTTTTACATATTTATTTATGAAAGTAGGGTGGGTACTGGTCATTAAATGGTACTTTTCCGTTGAGGTTGTGACAAATGTGGAAATATTTTACCTACTATTTTTTTCTTGAAAGAAACTGTTTTATAGTAATGTCTTTTATTTTTCAGAAAATAAAACCAATAAAGGTAATTCAACCATAGATATCGCAGTCTGTAAAAATTACTTCTACAAAAGGAAAAAACAAACACTTTCTCATTCAATCTACTTTTACATGAGACTTAAGTTTTAGTTTACACAAATCACCTAAATTCTTGAAAATCTAGAAATAAAATTACATTAGTTAAGTGATGCGTGGCTATAATTCCATAGTATCGTACATTATGTGTCTTGCATTTTACATGCTTTAATGATAAATTACATTTTATTTGCACGTGATGGAGTCTATTTTATGTGTAGGTGAATTGGAGATGAAAGTAGAAAAAAATGGATACTTAAACATTGAAAGTGTGCTCGAGAACAGTGAAAAGGAGAGACCAGGAAAAGGTCAGGCTGAACCAGGCTTTAGCCTGGCAAGGCTAGCCAAAGGCCAGGCTGAGGCTGGCGACGCCAGGCCTGAGGCCAGGTCCAGTCTGAGTTTTGAAGACTTAATTCGTCTCCTAGTTTGACTAGGACTTGGCCTACATATTTAATTCTTTTCCTACACATATAAATAGACCTAAAAACGTCACTTTTGACACACTTTAGACCTAGGAAGATCACAGAGCTGTCGTGGAGACCAGAGATTCGACCTAAGGAGGCAAGAACACACTAGGAGCAAGACGGAGAATTCTACGAGTTTTTCACTTCCTTTTTCCTATTATCCATTATTGGTTATGAATTTTAGTATTGTAGTTTTGCATATTTTATGAATAGCTAATTTGTTATTCTAGGGTTTTGATTGAACCTATTGGAGGATGATTTTCCTGTTACGTTAATATAGATTTGTTGTAGCTTTTTCTCTATTTGTTCAACTACGTCATTATTGTGGTTGGTTGAAGAGCTCTCAATCGACTGTGCCTATTTAGTATGTATTACTCGGGAGAGAGTGCATATTTAGGTAGTTGTTGAACAACATCACTCCTAACGTATATGAGGATCAATACGAAAGGTTTAAAGGTGGGATTAGGGATAACGAAACCTTGGCGCGATCTGAGTGAGCCGTACTTAACGCCAGCTAGCGTAATTCGGGAGAATATGTCTAGTAAATTGTGGTAATTACTTGGGAGAGAGTTACGATAGTTAGAGTGCTCATGATCGGTAGAGAAGACTTAGGCAAATTTATTGAAAACGTAGCGGAAAGGATTCCGACAATAGGGGAAATCATAACTCTAGACCTCCTTTATCTTGTCTCCAGTCCTTATCCTTGTTAATTGATATTTTTACTGCTTTCTAGTATTTGTTAGTTAGTTAGATAGAAATAATTATTATAATCTTTATAATTAGAAAATTGTTTGGACTTGTGTTTCTTAACAATATTGAACATCTGTAGCCAAGCCTAAGTTCTCTGTGGGATTCGACTTCGGACTTGTAAACCGGATTATATTTACAATGATCGCTTAGTCCTTTTTATAAGGCATAGTTGGGTGATCATTAAGCAATGGTGAAAGTATATCAGGTAACTGATATTTTAATTTTGAAAGAGTAATAATCATAAATCAATATCAACTGTTTTATTTTGCCCTTTTAGATTCAAACGTATTTATCTCTTACTATGACAGTAGTTTAGACGTATTTAAGGTTTCGGTCTCACATTAATCTAAAAGCTAATTAGAAGTAGTTTTTTTTTTCCAACCTAATCTAAAAGTTAATTAGTTAAAGTGACTCTTGATAGATAAAAAATATCTTGATATCAATTAAGCTTAAGAACTCTATCAGATAACAAGTAATTTTAGCTTCAAAAGCATCCATTGTCTTCAACTCATTGACCTGACGAATTCGACTCACATCGTAAAAAATCTATTATAAGGGAATTTTAGCGCTTTCTATAGAAAATTACTCATTAAATTCGAATGTGAGTGAAAAAATCTTTACCCTTCCATCACACTCTTAGTTTTAGCATTTTCTTAAAAGTAGAATAGTTGGTTTTAAGAAAATAAAAAGAATACGAGTCCCTAAAGACTTCTTTAGCAAAATGTCAAAATACATGTGCTCATGTGTCATAACTCATAGGTGAAAAAACTGTGAAATTAATTATGTTTGGAACCGTTGATTTATGTACGATGTTTTCATTAATTATTATCATCCTAAAATAGAACATAGAAAAAAGAAAACACGTAGGCATAAACACAAAGAATCTACGTGGCAGGCATGGGGTTGCGAGATTTGATGTAGACAGATGGAATCAACGCTCACATATATCCTTACTGCCAATTCTGACCACCTTGCCTCCTGTTGAATTTATCTTATTCTATTTTCTTTTTTATTATTTAATTTAAAATAATTTTTGGTTTAATTGCAAATTTTGGAATGTTAATTCATGACATTTGCATGTGGAAAATCATGACACCAAGGTTGATAAATTTGGTGGATTGCCAGTTTTGTGTACTTGGTCATGATAAACTCATGCAAAGATGGAAAATGGAAATGGACATGCAAATTTACGCAATACGAAAAGAAAAGTAGAATCAAAGAAAAAGTACTAATTTCTTCTATAATGATTATTTTGCTACATAAGTAAAAAGTAAAATTTTAATATTTTCTCCTTCCCAATTTATGTGATATTTTTTACTTTTCGAGGTAATTTTTTTAAAATTTTAACCGTATATTTAGACATAAAATTCTTAAGTTTTTCGAAATAAAATTTACAGATTTAAAATTTACGTAAATAAATATTATAAGTCACAATAATTGAAAATTTAAAATATTCCAAAGACATTAAAAAATTCCGTTCAACAATAATTCATTTAACTCTAAAAATTCAAACCGCCACATAAATAGGGACGAAGTGAGTATTCTTTTGGTGTAGGTACTAGTTACTCTCTGTGAGCGTAATTGAGTTAAAACAAAAATCAGAAAACTGTTAGAAGAATAAAGAAATGTATAAAATAGTAAAGAATCAGAAATATTCCGAGTCCACAATTTTTCTTGTGCGTCCTTAAGGAATTTTAACCCCCTCACACGTTGCCAAGGTAATGGATTAAATCCTCCCAGGATAAAACGGAATAAACCTTCCTGCAACAGTGGCAATACAAACTGCAGGATACCAACGAACTCAAAGAACGGAGCAAAATCACACTTACGAATTTGAGAGAGAGA